TACTATAAGGCCCTATTCTCTTCGCCTTATAAAAATATTATTCATAGTTCAGTAAAAATAAGTTTGGTTCAATAAAAAAAATAATTTAAGTTCAACAAAAATAAAGCAAAGTGAATCGGACCTAACTATCTAAAGTCTTACGTCGGCTTTATTGCATGCTATGTGGCATCCTTACGCCGGCATGACGCAAAAAATCTTTTTATAGAAAAAAAGAATAAAGCATGACATGGACGCTAATAATGTTTAACCTACTTGAAAAACTACTCATATGCATAACGTCTCTACAATAATGTTTAGACTAATGGAACACTCTACGAATTTATATGACCTCCCTATTTATTCTTAACTCCTTAGTAATTTGCACAATAAAATAAATTCTAATTAGCAAAAATTAACCATACCAATGGTTGATTCCTTCTTGGATATTAATATTCTAGATTCAATAAGCATGAAGCAATTATACAGAGTGATATTTTATCATTATTATTTGATGTTGTAATGTAAAATGAATTACATTTACCATTTATTTATTAATTTTATTCTTGGGATATTCTCAACGGTAACCCCCAACTTCTGCTACGCACCAACGGTGACCCCTTTTTTCTTGGATTATACAAAATGACCCTAATTAAGAAATTTATCTCACATATGACATTAATGAGTGTTATTTTTTAAAAAAAAAAAACTAACTATGGTTGTTAACTTTGAAAAAAAAATTATTAAAAAAAAAACTAAAACTAAAAAAAGAAAAAAAAAAATCAACCTCGTCCCATTAACCTCGCCGGAAACACTCCCACCTAAACACCTCTCCCTTTCCCCGCCTGCCGAAACGTAGTCCCACCGTTCCCTCAACCCTGAAAATCGCCGATTGGCGTTCCCACTCCCCCGAAAACATCCCCCTCCCTTCCCCCATCCCGTAAAACACCCCCCATCTCCCCCTGTAGGAAAACAAAACCTCTCCCCTTCCCCTGCTGAAAACGACCCCGAGATCCGGACCGGCTCCCTAAGTCTAACTGCCGCGATTTTATGGTGGTAATGGATTAATGGTGGGGATTGATGGTGATGATGATCATTGAAGCAGCCAAGCCGAAACGGAAGAGGTAGCAGGGAATGGTCGCGGCGGGGTTAAGGAGGAAAGGGAGGGGGCTGGGTTGGACGGAGTAGGGGAGGGGGTTGGCCGGAACGGTGGAAAGGGAGGGGGCTGGGTTGGACGGAGTAGGGAGGGGCCGGGCTGGCCGGAACGGTGGAAAAGGAGGGGGGCTGGGTTGGCCGGAATCAATGGAGGATTGGGGGTTGGGATTAATTTTTTTAATTTTCTTTTTATAAAAAAAAAATTAATTTTCTTTTTATAAAAAAAACGGATTTTTCATGAAATACCACTGAGTTTTTCCAAAATTCACCATATACCACACAAAAAATTTTAATTCACCAGATACCATTGAGTTACTGTACGTTAACACAGAATGCCATTAATGGTAACTGCCGTTAGTCTGCCATTTGGGGTAAATTACTAATATGCCCTTATACACTAAACTGGCGCCATTGTTAGGGTTGACTCTCCCAAACACAAAGTTTCAACTTCAAAAATTTGACCCCCCTTCCTCTTTTCCATTGAAGCTACTCTCTGTTTGTCTCCATTGCTCTTCAACCCTACAAATCAATAAAAAAAAAAGTGCAAAATGTCGATGGACTAAAGTGGATTGCAACTGGGAAAGGTAATTGGGACTTACGATTGAGCAAAGAAGCAGTTTGAGAGTGTTCAGAGACAGCGTGGTGTTCGTGACTGAATTTCGCACAAAGTTCGCACCTGGGTTGGATTAAGCATACGCAAGGTATTAATATCCTTATTGATTTGCATTTCGAGTTCTGATTTTGTTGTTGTTTTGCGAAATTGAGTTAGGGTTAGGGTTTCGTGGACAATGATCATATATGTCAATTTGGTTGCTATGAAATTCGAATTTGAATTATATGGAAATTATGTTTGATTTGTTGTATGCGTATTTGAATGATGTTAAAGTGAAGTTTTTTGTGTTGTATGCGATTTATTGTTTGGATTGTGATGTAATGTGGTGTTGGTAAATGTTGTTGTTAGGATGAGTGAATTGTGGCTGTTAGTTCGTTCCCCAAGTGGTACTTTTGATGTGAGGGTGGATGACACAGATAAGACCAATTTGATGGAGTTGTTTGAGTATATGTTTAAGGATTCAATGAAGCAAAATGTATTTCTCCCTAAATACTTCACCCTGCTTGTGAGTAAACCTAGAACAAATCGTAAGTTAGAGTTAGTTGATGATGGGGCAATGTTAAAAATGTGGGAGTGGAATGAAGGGAAGAGTGAAACAGAAGTTTTTATAGAAGAGACAGAAACACCGTCTCTTGTGTTTCAGTCTGCAGAAGCTAGTTGGGCAAAAACTTTGAAGAACAGGGCTGAAAAAATTAGGCTAATGGAGGAAGAGAATAGAAGGAAAGCAGAGGAAGCAGAAGCTGAGGAGCAGCTTTTGGCCCAGCAGGCATATACTGTGGCTGTAGAGGTCCCTGTTGTGGATGCTGATGATGATGGGATTGACTATGTAAGGGTGTTTGCTACCCCAGTAGCTGATGAGGTTTTTCCAGGGGATTCACAACCTCAACCCTCACAAACAAAAACATCTCAACCAAAGAACCCTACAAGAAGAAAAAAAACTAACTCCAAAGAAGAAAAAAAAACCCCCTACACAGTTCACTCAACAAAGACAGTCCACTCAACAAAGACAGCCCACACCTCCACCACCAAATGTTTCCCAACAGCATCCTTCCCCACCACAAACACCAACACACCAACCCAGGCAGCCTACATCACCTCCCCCCCCACCACCACAACCAACAGCAAGAGCACCAAGGCAACCAACCCAGCCTAAACAACAAACCAGAATTAAACCCAAAGAGTGGAGGGTGCCTAGAAGCACAGCAATTAAGTATCGTCTTGATGTTGGGAAAAAAAATGCAGCAGGGAGGCAAGTCAACACTAGGAGCAAAAAATCTATGCCTCTTGAGGAAAGTGATGTTGAGTCTGATGCTTGGCCTTCTGATGATAGTGAAGATGATGATTATGAAATTTCTGATGTTGAGGCTGATTTTGATATGGAGTTGGACATTGAGGATGAGTACTTTGTGAGAGAAGAAGATGTTCCTGATAATATACTTGAGAAGACCTTTGAGGATTACTTAGATGGGTCTCATGTGTTAGACAAAATGTACAAAAATGGTAAAATCTGGTCTCACTTACCATTTGGGTCCATTAAACTTGAGGAGTGGTTGATTTTTGAAACCAAAACACAATTTCTAGAGGTTTTCAGAGATTACTGCATACAAGAGGGCTTCTCTGTTTCAGTTGACTATGCTGACAATCAAAGGTACATAGCAAGGTGTCTGATCAGGGATTGCAATTGGAGGATTCATGCATCAGTTCTGAAAGACAAAGTCAGTTGGGCCATAAAAAAGCTAGAAGGAGAGCATGAAACTTGTGGGAGGCTGGAAGAGAATCCTATGGTCTCTTCAGCATGGCTATGCAGACATTTGTTACAAGACTTAGAATCAAACCCAGATGTCCCAGTTGATTCATTGCAGAGACTGTGCATGGAAAGGTACAGGATCCATGTCAAGTTGAGGTTGTTATACAAAGTGAAGAGTTTAGGCAGGGAGCAATTACATGGTGGGTTTGCTGAGTCCTATGCAGCTCTGCCAAAGTATGCTGAAATGATAAAGTCCACAAATCCTGGGTCATTTGCTCTTGTTACATGGACTGATAGTGGGGATCAGAGTTTCAAATTCAAGGCCTGTTGCATATCTTTTGCAACTCAAGTGAAAGGATTCTTAGGTAGATGCAGACCTATCATAGGAATAGATGGTGCACATCTAAGTGGGTATTACATGTTGATTATTTAGAGTGTCGATGTAGAGCGCCCGCTCTACTGATTAATCGCGCTCGCGCTAGCTAAGCGCGACCCGCGATGAAACAGCGCCTAAACCGCGATGAGTTTCTGGAAAATCTGACGGATTTTGGTGGCTCGCCCGCTCCTCTGAGTGGCGCGCCCGCGTTCCCGTATGGCGCGACCCGCGCCTAGGGCGCGACAAAATAGCGTTAACTTTTTGGAAATCTGAAGTTTTTGGGCAAAGAAGAGTGGCGCGCCCGCGCCTCATGGTGGCACGTCCGCGCTGCTGTGGTGGCACGCCCGCGCCGCTTCGCTCGCGCCTGCGCTTCTTGCCTGTTTTGCGGTTATAGCGTCGGTTGAGTATATTTTATATAGAACTCTGGTTTTTCCGAAAATATAGACAGAATATTATTCTCTCTAACTCACCCCAAGAATTCTCCATAATTTCTCTCAATTTTCTTGCTAACTATTGTGAGAAATACTCTTGATTTTAGCCTTCTTTGTGAATTATTCATCTTCATTTCGATTCTTTGTGCTAAGATCGAAAGGGCTGTCAATTGTATCTCAAAGAGAATTTCCGGAATAACCCAAGCATTGTGTGGGGGAAATTAATCTCTTTAGGAAAGTATTCATACGTCTTTGACAGTGTATCAAGGATTGAGACTCAAGTGGTCACCGAAATTCTCATGTTCATGTTCTTGGTGTTGGCTTGGAGTTGAGGCAAGTATAGAATTTTCACATAAGTATTTTTCTTTGTATTTTCTGTAATACATTGGTATTTTGGTGTTTGGTTGTAATACATTGGTTTGTATTTGGATTGTTGTATAATTTGATTTTAATTATACATTGTTTAGATTTTGTACCCACAATTTTAAGTAATTCTCATTGTCTTGAATTGCTGTAAAACCTAACAATCTAAAGAGATTAATTCTTTAGCAAGCATGTCTAGTGTGAAAGAATTGACCACAAATTTTGTCAAACTCAAGAAGTTTTACGGTGTGGAGTTTCGAAGATGGAAGAAGAAGATGTATTTTCTTCTTACATCTTTGAATGTAGCCTACGTCATTAGTACTCCAAGGCCTAGTGAACATGAGAATGAATCCTTGGAAAGTGTTCGGGAAAGATCGAAATGGGACAACGACGATTTTCATTTGTCGTGGTCATATTTTGAATGGAATGGAGGATGATCTCTTTGATGTCTACCAAAATGTGGAATCGGCTAAGGAGCTTTGGGAGTCCTTGGAGAGCAAATACATGGCGGAAGACGCTTCAAGTAAGAAATTCTTGGTTAGCAATTTTAATAATTATAAGTTTGTTGATGGTCGGTCCATAATGGACCAATTTCATGAATTGCAACGTATCTATGGTAGCTTAGAGCAACATGGTATAGCTATGAATGAGTTGTTTGTTGTTTTTAGCATTATTGATAAGTTACCCCCTAGTTGGAAAAATGTTAAGCATGATCTTAAGCATAAGAAGGAGGACATGACATTGTCCGGTTTGGCCACCCATCTTCAAATTGAAGAAGGGATTCGTGCCATGGAAGGAGCTAAGGATGGAAATCCTAGCACATCTACCGTGAATATGGTAGATGAAGGGAGAGCTAGTGCATCTACTAGTGGAAAAAGTAAGAATAATAATTCTTCCAAGGCAATTCCAAAAAGCAAGCAAACAATAACAAGTTTGCTTGTTGGGAATGCGGTAAGGTTGGTCACCGCAAGAAGGACTGCTTTTCTTTTAAGAAAAGGATGGAGAAAGCCAAGGAGGGCCGTGCTAATGAAAGCAAGGACCCACCCATCAAAGGTAATCCAATTCATGAGGTTGAATTTAATTCCGGTTTGGATTTAAATGCAACGGATCCTAACATTTTTATGGTGCAGGATGATGACTCATTGTGAATTGATTCGGGGGCTTCAAGGCATGTGTGCAAGAGTAAACACTGGTTCAAAAACCTTTCAAAAGGTTGTTGATGGAGAAGATCTCTACTTGGGGAACAATTCTACCATCAAGGTCCTTGGAAGAGGGCAAGTTGAGCTTGTGTTTAGTTCGGGGACTGCAATAATTCTTAGGAATGTTTTGTATGCTCCGGAAATTAGTAGGAATCTTGTATCCATGCCTACCCTGAATAGTCTTGGCTATAAGCTTATATTTGAAGCTAATAGATGCATTATTACTAGGGGTGTAACATTTACAGGTCGTTGCTACTTAGATAATGGTTTGTTTAAACTCTCTTTGAGAGATAAGTATGTATTGGATGATATGTGTTTGAATGTTGTTGACAATGTTAATCATGTTGATTTGAATTTGTTTGATTTATGGCATTCAAGATTAGGACATGTGAATTATAATAAAATGCTTTTTATGTCCAAACAAGATTTAATTCCTTCTTATAAAATTTCTCCTAATAAGTGTTCTACTTGCATGTTGAACAAGATCACTAGAACTCCTTTTAAGAGAGTTGAGAGAAGTTCTAATATTTTAGAACTAATCCATAGTGACTTGTGTGATTTTCATAGTACTCCTTCTTTGGGGAACAAAAGATACATGGTTACTTTTATAGATGATTATTCTAGGTTTTGTTACGTGTATCTTTTGCATTCCATAGATGAAGCTTTAACCAAGTTTGATGTTTATAAAAGAGAGGTAGAACTGCAAGTAGAATCATTTATTAAGAGAATTAGAACTGATAAGAGAGGGGAATATTATGATCCTGCTTATTTCCAATCTTTGGGTATAATTCATGAGACAACAGCGGGTTATGCACCACAATCAAATGGTGTAGCTGAAAGAAAACAGAACTCTTGAAGAAATGGTTAATTCCATGTTATCTTACTCTGGTTTGAGTGAAGGGTTTTGGGGTGAAGTAATGTTGACAGCATGTCACATTCTTAACCGGGTTCCCACTAAGGGAAAAGAATCTACTCCTTATGAACTTTGGTACAAAAGAAAACCAAACTTGAAGTATCTCAAGGTTTGGGGTTGTAGGGAAATCGTAAGAGTGCCCGGCAACAAGAAAAGAAAGCTTAGTGAAAGGGGCTTAGATTGCATTTTTATAGGTTATGCTGAGCATAGCAAAACCTATAGGTTCTATGTAATAGAACAAAATGACTATATATCGATTCATTCGGTAATTGAGTCAAGAGATGCAATTTTTGATGAAAATCGATTTTCATCAATGAGTAGACCAAAAGATCTACAAATCAGTGCCAGTGATAGGGAGATAGTAGAGTTGAATGATCAACTTGAAACTCATGAAAGTACATTCGATAATGAGAATGTTGAAACTCTTCAAGTGAGGAGAAGTACTAGGGAAAGGAAAATTAGGAATCCTCTAGATGACTTCATAATTTATTTGGTTGAAGGATCTAGAGATGTCCTTAGTTCTACTACTTCATATTGTTTCAATGTGGATAGTGACCCAAAGACTTATAGTGAGGCAATATCTAGTCAAGATAGTGCATTTTGGAAAGAAGCTATAAATGATGAGATGGATTCCATCATAGGAAATAATACTTGGGTCATAGAGGATTTACCTCCCGGTTGCAAACCTCTTGGTTGCAAATGGATTTTCACTAGGAAAAGGAGACCGGATGGCTCCATAGTGAAATTTAAAGCCAGATTGGTTATCCAAGGCTTTAGGCAAAAGCATGGTGTTGATTATTTCGATACCTATGAACCGGTTGCAAGAATTACCTCCATAAGGTTATTGATTGCAATGGCTTCGGTATATAATCTAGTGATTCATCAAATGGATGTCAAAACGGCATTCCTTTATGGAGATCTAGAGGAAGAAGTGTACATGAAACAACCCGAAGGGTTTGTTTTGGAAGGACAAGAAGATAAGGTGTGAAAATTGGTTAAGTCATTGTATGGACTTAAACAAGCACCAAAACAGTGGCATCGGAAATTTGATGACACAATTTTGTCCTTTGGATTCAAAGTGAATCAAGCTGATAAGTGTATTTATAGCAAATTTGATGACAAAGGTCATGGTGTCATCATATGTCTATATGTTGATGATATGCTTATCTTTGGTACAAGTCTACAACAAGTAGAAATGACCAAGAAATTCTTATCCTCATTTTTTCAGATGAAGGATTTGGGGGAGGCGGATGTCATTTTGGGCATCAAGATTATAAGGGACAATGGAAGACTTATCTTAAGTCAATCTCATTATATTGAGAAAATGATCAAACGGTTTAATATGTTTGATAAGTGTCCCGTGAACACCCCCATAGAACCTAATGTTAAATTGGTTAAGAATTCAGTAAAAACGATTTCCCAATTGGAATATTCAAGGATAATTGGATCCTTGATGTATGCCATGACTAGTACAAGACCGGATATTGCATTGGCTGTGGGAAAACTAAGTAGATTTACTAGTAACCCGGGTGCACAGCATTGCTTTGCAGTTCGGAGGGTCTTGAGGTACCTTAAGGGTACGTTAGACTATGGTCTAACTTATAGTGGATTTCCTTCAGTTTTGGAAGGATTTTCGGGTGCTAGTTGGATCACTTACAAAGAGGATGACTCTTTTGTAAGTGGTTGGGTATTCATGTTTGGGGGAGGTGCCATTTCGTGGTCTTCCAAGAAACAAACTTGCATCGCTGATTCCACTATGGCAGCGGAGTTTATAGCTCTTGTTTCAGCTAGTAAAGGGGCTGAGTGGTTGAGGAGTCTCATGATAGAGTTGCCTTTATTGCCAAAGCCAATGCCACCGATGGCAATCCATTGTGATTCCAATTCGGTGTTGATAAAGGCTTATAGTCAAGTGTACAATGGTAAGACTCGCCATATTTCACTAAGGCATAGCTTAGTGAAAGAGCTTATCAATGATGGGGTCATAAGTCTTGACTATGTTCCAAAAAAGTTGAATTTGGCGGATTGCTTTACAAAGGCAATGCCAAGACCATTTCATTATATTTGCCATGAATGGAATGGGTTTATGTCCAAAAACACGAATTTGTGAAACCCAATCTAACACTTGAAGAAACATCAAGTCTTAGATTCAATGTGGTTGAATTGCAATTTTGTTGTTTGTTAGCAATATTTAATGACCAATATTGCTATGGTACTTGTGATGTATTAGGTAGCGTCATTTAAAGTTCTCAAAGGTTTAGAGTTGAGAAGCTCTAAATGTAAGTGTCTTGTCACAAGGGCACATTTACGTATATGAGAACCTACCTATATAAGTTCGAAGTTTAGCCGCTTTAAAAAGTCTAGATGGACATATAGACTTTGATGGACTTATGAAAGATACGGACACATGGCTGTTTAAAAGTGTCAAGTGATGATTGACTCGATTTGTCTTGTGTGTACTTCACCTTCGAATGGTTGGATATATCCGCGTGATTTAATCCATATGGAAATCATGGGATATGGTCATCGTTAAGTGTGTTGTACTAGGTGTCAATTCAATCCGTAGGGACATTGACATTGATGCATGAGATGTGGCTAAATTGATAGAATTGGAGAATGTTTAAAGAAGACACTCTAAATGGGGGAGGATTGTTGATTATTTAGAGTGTCGATGTGGAGCGCCCGCTCTATTGATTAATCGCGCTCGCGCTAGCTAGGCGCAACCCGCGATGAAACCGCGCCTAAACCGCGAAGAGTTTCTGGAAAATCTGACGGATTTCGGTGGCGCGCCCGCGTCCCCGTATGGCGCGGCCCGCACCTAGGGCGCGAAAAAATCGCGTCAACTTTCTGAAAATCTGAAGTTTTTGGGCAAAGAAGAGTGGCGCGCCCGCGCCTCATGGTGGCGCGCCCGCGCTGCTGTGGTGGCGCGCCCGCACCACTTTGCTCGCGCCCGCGCTTCTTGCCTGTTTTGCGGTTATAGCGTCGGTTGAGTCTATTTTATATAGAACTCTGGTTTTTCCGAAAATATAGACAGAATATTATTCTCTCTAACTCACCCCAAGAATTCTCCATAATTTCTCTCAATTTTCTTGCTAACTATTGTGAGAAATACTCTTGATTTTAGCCTTCTTTGTGAATTATTCATCTTCATTTCGATTCTTTGTGCTAAGATCGAAAGGGCTGTCAATTGTATCTCAAAGAAAATTTCCGGAATAACCCAAGCAACGTGTGGGGGAAATTAATCTCTTTAGGAAAGTATTCATATGCCTTTGACAGTGTATCAAGGATTGAAACTCAAGTGGTCACCGAAATTCTCATGTTCATGTTCATGTTCTTGGTGCTAGCTTGGAGTTGAGGCAAGTATAGAACTTTCACATTAGTGTTTTTCTTTGCATTTTCTGTAATACATTGGTATTTTGGTGTTTGGTTGTAATACATTGGTTTGTATTTGGATTGTTGTATAATTTGATTTTAATAATACATTGTTTAGGTTTTGTACCCACAATTTTAAGTAATTCTCATTGTCTTGAATTGCTGTAAAACCTAACATTACAAAGGGATTATGCTCACTGCAGTTTCAACTGATGGGAATAATGAGATTTTTGTGTTAGCCTTATTTCTTCAGAAACTTGAGGTGCTTGTTTGCTCAATATGGATCTCAGAAGGATGATTGGACTTTTATAAGTGACAGGATGAGGGTAAGTTTCTTCTTTGTCTTTAATTTGTGATGATGATGTTGTTTACTAACTTAGTCATGTTTTTTTAAAGGGGTTGAATCAGCTTTGTTTGAGGTGTTCCCAAGAGCAACCAGGAGAATATGCTGCCAGCATTTGTACTCAAATTGCAAGAATGCAGGATGGAGTGGGACACCATTTCATAAGCTGTTTAGGATTGCTGCAAATGCATACAATGAATATGTGTTTGGAAAAGCAATGTCCAAGATAAAAGAGTATGATGCAGCAGCATTTGATTATCTGACAAATGTGGAAGAGCAATGGAGTGTGCACATGTTTGACAGGACAATTTGTTGTGATCATAACACAACAAACTTTGTAGAGTCATTCAATGCAATAACAAAGTCCAACAGAGACATGCCTGTGTTGACATTACTGGAAGGTAAACTGTTGTGCCTATTTTGTTCATTTCAATGCATACAAATTGGTTTGTTTGTACCACAATGAGCTGATGCTATGTCTGTGTACTTGGTGTTGCTTTATGTTACTTTCTTTTTTTGGGAATAATTCAGCTGTCAGGAATTGGTGCATGAAAAGGATGGGTTCCAGGTTCGATAAAGCAGTTGATATGGAACCTAATGAGCTGACAGAGCATGCAAAAGGGGTGTTGGAGACAAGGACTGATGAGTCTAGGTTCTGCCAGGTGACTGCAGCTGGTGGTGGAGAATTTGAGGTGAGGGATGGCCATGTCAAGTTCCTTGTCACACTTGGGAATATGACCTGTGGGTGTGGGAAATGGCAAGGATCAGGGATCCCATGTAAGCATGGTCTCAAGGTCATTTACAACCAGAGACTTGAACCCAGGGATTTTGTGTCACCTTTATACAAGGGGGCTGCATACAAACTGACTTATGCAGACCACATCCACCCCATGGCTGATCCAACTCACTGGCCATCACTTGATGTGCCAGAAATTGCACCACCCTAAGGCAAAAGAAGTGCAGGAAGACCAGCTAAGCAGAGGAGAAGAGCCCTTCATGAAGCAAAAAAAGGAAAGAGGCACAAGAACAACAAATGCAGCCTATGCAAAGAACTGGGACACAATGCAGTAACCTGTAAGGCAAGAAAGGCAGCAACAAAAAAGGCAGAAAATGCAGCATCCACTTCAAGGCAAGTCAACACAAGGGGGAAGAAGAGAAAGGCTAGTACTTAGCATTCTTGAAGCTAGGCTTCATTTGTAATTTTTTGGTGAACACTTTTGAATCTTCAGTGTCAAGTTGTATGTGAACAAAAATGTTAACTACTTGGTTTTTTTGGCACTTCTTTTGTTTCTCACAATTCCTAGCTATGTAATGCAAGTACTGAAATTATGTAGGCATATTCTTTTAACAAACAATGTTAGCAATTCAAGTGCAACTTATTTAAGCAATGAAATTTTTTGTCTAACATTTTTCATTTCAAGGCTACAAATACAAAAACCATAAACATAATTGCTCCTATTTTTATTGCTACATTTACTATCTTTTGCTGTTTTGCTACTCTTTTCTTCAACTCCTTCAACTCTTGCTTCAACACGATCTCACTTCCATGCGTGTCTATCCCTCCCCTGCTTTGATTTTCATAACCCCACGGGACATTTTGACCCACATTGCCCTTGCACCATCTGAATGTATCACATACATCACACTTATAGTACAACCTTTGTGGATTTTTTGCCGAATCAGAGCTTCTTATTGCAAACTTCCTACCACAACAACATGTTTTGTTTGGCACCCTTACATACGAAGAACCGAAAGAAGACGATAATGATGATGATCTCGAGTTTGTGGACATCTTTGCAAATGCTATTAAAGGTGTGCCTTGGTACGTGAAGAACTACATTTATATACACAAACTAGCCGTCATAACTGTTCAACGGCTATATTTTAAAAAAAATGGTATATCATGCAAACAAAAGTAAAATAATGGTATATGGTGAATTAGTAATTTACCCCAAACGGCAGACTAACAACAGTTACCATTAATGGCATTCTGTGTTAACGTACAGTAACTCAAATGGTATTTGGTGAATTAAAAAATTTTGTGTGGTATATGGTGAATTTTGGAAAAACTCAGTGGTATTTCATGAAAAATCCGAAGATTTTAAGTGGAAAGTGGAAAAAAGGATTTGGAAAATAAATGGGGAGAAAGGAAATGTCGAAAGTAAAAAAGGTAAGAAGACAAGTTATTGCACAATTCTATCTTATAATAAGACTTCCTCCATTTTTTTTAATATCAATACTTTGAAATGAAAGAGGGAATAGATAAGGCTTTTACAATATTATCAACCTTTCAAAACTAAGAGTTTATTGTGTTTATGATTAGAGATGTTTTTGCTTTCTAACTTGATTAATTAGTGATATACTTTGTATATGTAAATTGAAAAATGATCTAATATTTACATTCATACAAAAGTAGTGTATCACATACATATGCTGCGAATACAAATTAGTCTTAAACTTTTCTAACTATAATCAAGATACTTAAATTAAATCAACTTTATCATTAATTTTTTTTTTCAAAACTTTATCATTAATTACAATAAAGAAATTACGATAAATTGGGGTATCGCGCGCAACACGCGTGATGCCACAACTAGTATATTCTAAGATCATCTCCAATGGTGAGACTTGAGGGAGTTTTTTTAGGAGAGAGTATTTTTTACAAAGTATACCAATAAGTTGGTATCTAAAGTTAGCAATTCCAAAAGAAAGTTGCTAAATTTAGATACCCAACATTAAATCTCATTTGACAAAAAATGTGGGCCCTTATCAATATTATAATATATTTTAGAGAATCTCTCCATTAAAAAATTAGATTTCACTGCTAAATTGAGAAGTGACAATGAAGATGGTCTAACAATACCTATCGGATATCTGATCGGGTGCTCACCCTATAAATAGCACGGGCAGACTGTGGAGTAAACGGCTAGTACACTTTAACTGACATGCTTTCATTTACGCGAGCGCTGAATTTCTCCTATTTTCCACGTTCAATTCTCACTCTTTCTCCTCATCTTCTTCTCTTCAAATTTCAGCACTGCGTATCACGTCACAGCTTAAAGGTTCGTCATCTCTTTCTTCCAATTTTCGACTTCATTTGAATTTTCTACTTACAATTTCCAGATTTCGATCTGAATAATTAACACTTAATTTTTCCGAATTTTGATATTTACAATTTGATAGGTTTCGAGGTGTAGAGACGAAGATTGCGATGATTTTTTGCCGTGGTTGGAGAAAAAGGCTGGAGTTCAGATTTCTCAAGTTCTTTCGATAGGAATATCTGATTTTGGAAGGTTCATTTTTCTTTCTTCTCAACTTTTTCATGGCTGATTTAGTAAAATTGTATGTGTTATGATTTGAAGTTGTTCTGAATTTGATATAGACTGCTTTAAAAATCTTGTCTGGGAGGCGAAAGGAGTAATTATTTATATGAAGTAGTTTTCGAGAAATGTTTGAATTATTTTGTTTAATTGTTTAGGAAAATGAGTTGATGGTAGTGGAATTTTCGGAATTCATCTTGTTTAATTGTAATTGTTACGGATGGAAATTGGAAAGTGAAGAAGAAGAATTCGGATTTTAGGTTCACCGGGGGTGTCCCTTGTCTTCAAGTTCGTTCATTGGTTTTATGAAAGATAGGAGTAAGAGGGAAATCGAATTTTTTGGGCTGAGAATACTGGCATATGCTACTGATAGTACTGATAAAAGAATTTAAAACAAATGCAGCTCATCTTTCGTGCATTGGGTGCACAATGATAATTATCTGCACCGTGTATATATAAGTTAATCTTTCTATGTTTGGTAGTGGCCGTCTTAGGCTCTCTTCACCCAATATATAATATTCAGTACAAAAAACGATTTATGATCAGAATCAGTGTTGATTAGTAAAGATAAGTTTTAATTTGTAAAAATGAGTTCAAATCAATAACATATTATTTTTCACTGAAGATAGCAACTTCATAGGACAAAACATACTGATCAATCAGTAAAAATCAGTGCCAATAAGTAGAAAGTAAGTAATGATTAGTAAATAATCAGTTGCAATCAATTAAATCAATAAAAAGATTTTATCTCCAGTAAATTTTGATGGAGAGGACATGGCGTTAAAGTTACTATTTTATGTATCCAAACAACCACCACCTTTTACAAGAAAATTATTAACTTGTGCAATATTGGGTCTGGGCACCCTGTATAAGTTACCATGTTAGATTTACTCTTTTATATATTGTGCACGTGAAATTTTGTAAAATTCATAATTTCATATCAACACTAAGCTATATGAACAAGTGTAATTTTGAGCCCTAACAAGGGGATACGTGACGCAGGAGTGGGCCGCATGCTACCTGCTGGCTGCTTTTACTGAATTCCAAACTTCAAAATATCGTATTTTGAAGTGCGGGTTACCAAAAACTCGTTTTTGACCCATCTTCAATGTGAAAAATAAAAGAATTTTGGGCACAAACTACACAACAAGCCCACTTCCATACAGACCAGGGAGCAATTCATAATTTCATACCATGGATTGCTAGAATTTCATTAATAAATACAATGGCATGGTATAATTTTATTCCACGAGTGTGGTTAATGGTATAAAGTTCTTTTGCCAGAATTTCATAAAATGGTATAAATCTGCACAATGGATGTGGTTGCTCTTAGCTTTCAAGTTAAATAAAAACAAATTGTGTGGTTTAACTTAGGGGATGATAAGGCTGGTTGATACTTTATTCTGTCTAGGAGGAAATGATTTTCACATTGTAATCGGTTTTTTTTTTTTTTTTTTTTCCCTTCTCTCCTTTGTAGGTCGTTGTTTGCTTGTAAGAGCATACAAGCTGGGGACTGCCTTTTGAAAGTTCCTTTTATAGTGGTAAATGTTGTGGAGGGAGTTGTATTACGTCCAGGATACTATTAACTAAATTTTCTCAAGATCCTGTCACTTTTGAACTGACAGCAAATATCTCCTGATGACATCCTTCCTGAAATCAAGCCCTTGGTCTCTAATACAGTAGGGACTGTTGCAAAACTTGCAGTAGTCATTCTAGCTGAGCAGAAAAAAGGTCAGGTATGGCTTAATATCCAAATAATGAGTTCAGGGATGAAGAATTATCTTTTAATGTTTAAAAGTTAGTTAATGCAAGTTGGTGTTTGATATGATATTTTTTGTTCTTTTTTTCCTGGTAGAGTTCTGAATGGGCTCCTTACATCTCTTGTCTTCCTCATAATGGAGAGCTGAATAGTACGGTAATTTCATTTCTTTCTCTTGGATTTGTTATTTTTTATTTTTGGGTTATGCTGCCTTGTGAAGAGCACTTTATTGTTTATTCTACCTTGAATCCCTGTTCTTTTGCATCTTTGTTGTGTTTCATATAATTTGTTGCACCATTTGACAAAAAAATATGGTGTATCGTATTATGTACATTCTTAACTTGACAACTTGTAATCTTGTAGGAGCGTTTTCTTGTGATTATGTATTTTGTTATCAGCCAACAGGGGGTGGTTCTGTTGTTTACTAGTCAATTGTGTTTTTCGTGTATATATAACAATTGGATTGGATTTGTTGTATCAGCATGGGTTGAAAATTTAGGCATTATTAGTTCACCTTTTATTTTATGTGATTTTTTTTTTGAAAAAAGGAAACCTACCTATTTTGGTATATGTGATTGTTGGAGGTGTCAATCATTGTCTGACAATATCACCTTATTTGAGCAACTACAAAGTAACGCGGTCCAATTAATTACATTACTGAAATTGATGCCTTGATGCGCAACAAGCCAATGTTTACATTCAGTTGGGTAGTTGGGTATGCTCCAGATGATATTTGATTTAATTTTTAATTTTTATTTTTTTGAGGCATTGTGTTTGGGCTTCGTTCCTTTTTTTTTTTTTTAATAAATGTCTTTGTGAAGCCCGTAACTATGTTGAATCTTACACTTGTTTTCAAGAAATATCTCTTGTCAATCAGTTTCTAAAGCTATGCCTTTTCAAATCAAATTTTAAATAAAATGAACAATGTAAAAATAGGATTCCTTATATCGGCATCTGGCCATCCCCTTAAACCACTAATTTAATGCTCGTAAGTGTTCACCCTGCCTTTGACTCCAATTTCTTCTCTTAGGCATATGTTTGAGGCCTGATCTATACCACATGAGTTATATAAGAAGACCAAGAATAAAATTTAAGAAAGATTTAAAGGAGCGGTATAAACGTTGTTGTAAAAAACATTAAGGTTTGGGAAACTTTAGCAAAGGAAAGAAATATACTCCGTAGTTCATAAAACATGAATGGTGTAAAATAATTAAAGTAAATACAAAGATAAATTTAAAAAGGATATATACAATCATGACACGTTGTTGATGTGAATTTTCTCCCTTCACACCGCTATCCAACACCATATTTTCCTCAATCCCCAAAGCACTTATATCACTCTCAATAACCTCTTCCAAGTTTTCTTAGGTGTCTCCTACCTCTCTTAATCGATCCTTTCTTGTATGGACACACATCCATCGCAACATACGCATCTCGCCACATTCATCTTATGAAAAGATTAGGCAATTATGCCCTACTTAAAACATGTTGACTTCATTTAGCAATCAAATTTTGTAGTATTGCCTACAATGCTTCTCCATCTTTCTAAATACACATATGTGTGTGTGTGTGTGCGCGCGCGTGTTTAAGATTGTGTGAAAGTACATAATTGATTACTATTGGTAGGTTGGCCATGTTGTATAGTACATCTCCCCCCCCCCCCCAAACCACCCTGTGGATGATCTGAGTTATACTGAATGCAGAATGTAATATATATTTTAATTTTTTTTTCATTTCGTAGATATTTTGGAGTGAAACAGAACTAGAGATGATACGACAAAGTTCAGTGTACCAGGAAACAATTAACCATGAGGCTCAAATTAGACAAGACTATTTGGTCATCAAACCAGTAAGCGTTTTCTTTTTTATTAGGTTTATTATTATTTTTATGAATGGTTTTTACGCTAGTAGGCTTGAGATTGGTCACCAATCAGGATTTAATTGAAGATTATAGTATGTTTTGCAATTTACAAGATCATTTACAGTCTGGCAATTTACTGCCTTAGGGAGATGAGTATATTTGATACTTATTAATATTAATATAGGACTTATAATACCTTCGGTTTTTACTCTACTCTGTTATCGTTATCGTACTTAAAAGAATTAAGAAACTTCGAAAATTGTGATTGGGTTTGAGAAAATAAGTGTAGAGTATGAGAGATGGAATTAAAAATGTGGGTTGGTGTAAGAAAGTTGTAAATGTTGTGGGGTAAGAGGGGTAAATAGTGAAGGGTGTTTTTCAAAATGGAATAAAGTAGATGCGAGTACATAAATAATTTGACCTAAATGGAAAGTGATTAGAACACAAAAACGAGGTGATATAATGTTTGCATAGGATGATATTACCTGTGTCCTTGGCATGTTCTCCATATTTGCTTTTATTCTGTCAATTTGCATCACATATGACCCATTGTTAGGGAAGGATTTATTTAATATATATACGATTCAGGTTTTTGACCACTTTCCTAATGCATTTGAGGATGTTCAATTTGACAGCTTCAAACATGCCTACGGTATAGGTATGTGGATATATTCAAATAAGTTACTGCTTGCCTTATATCTCCCTTTGCTGTGATTAACAGATAAACTGATAATAGCACTGTTGCGTAGTTTTGTGAAAATAATGTATCACTCAGTTTTACTGTTGACACTATCATGTTAAAAATTTATTACGAGGTATAAAGTATGTTGTAGAATTCATTGTTTAAAGTTCAACAGAATAAAAATTGTTAGTCATTTATTTAGATGTTTATGTAGCAATAATGTATCTTTTGGCAATGCATTATGCATGTGGCTGTTGAACAGCTCGAACAAGCCACAAAGATCTGCATCTCGAGCTTGATGCCATTTTTGTAAATTGCAAACTTTCAGTTGCATCTCGAGCTTGGGAAAGCATGAAGGGACAATCGCTGGTATAGTCACTCAAGTAATTCAAGATTCAAGTACTTATGCAAATTATATGTATGTATCATCCATCTTAGTCTTGATACCATCTCTCAAAATTACTAAAGGTTTTCTGCAGATTCCATTTGCAGACTTTTTAAATCATGATGGAACCTCCGACTCCGTTGTATTATGTGATGTAAAAGATAGAGTATCAGAGGTAGGACTTTTTTAAATTTACCTAGACATGACTTCTTGTTTGCTTGATTGTACAATTTAAGATTATGCTTTATATAGTAATCACACAGTTTCAACTTGCACTGTTGTCCTATTTAGAGCTCATATGCTCTCTTGATTCCTTAACGTGGTCCTTCGTTGGGTATATACTTCTTTTCAATTTAAACATTAAGATTTCTTTTTTTATCTAGTAGTTTCTTTCTGATCTCCACCTCTGATATTCCTTTAGGTACCTGGTTGATAATTTTTCTTTCTTTTTTTTTTTTTTTTTGTCAGTAGACTGGTGAATGAACTTTTGCGAAAGAAATTAATATAAGTGAAGTGAAATTAGATAGATAACTTGCTGTTCTTTATCCCAAAAAGTATTTAATTGTCACTTTTAGCTGCTTTTGGAGTTTTGATGGGATCTTTATTTGGTGGTCTACTGTCTTATGCAAGTTACCTGGTGAGCTTACTTTTCTAATGAGCCAAATAAGTCTCAAAAGAGATTTAGATTGTTTAATGGATTCTGTTCCTCATTCACTAAAGTTTGGATAGAGAGAAATGTTATTTTTATATGGCTGATGAGTAACGTGTATAGCCTGCAAGAATGGAAATTATCGACAAGTTTAACTCTACCTTCATGGATATACTTCCTCCGTTCACTTTTAGTTGCAGCACTTTACTTTTCATGCCTGCCAATGCATAGTTTTAACCCTTCGTATCTTAAAATATAGATAAGTAAAAAAATATAAAAATTAGATATTATGAATATAAATTGAGACAAATCTAACAAGATCCCACATGACTATATTTTGCCCAATATGTTAATTAATAAAGAAGGTTAATTGTAAGAATGTAAATAGTGTAAAATTTCAAGTGTTCCAACTAAAAGTGAACAGAGGAAGCACATTTTATCTCATAGCGTCGGCATTTGGATATTGGATGTGCAGACTGCAGTCCAACCAAGTGTAAATTTTTTAATTTTCATAGCTGGAACAGTTTGTGGATTTTTAGGGATTATGCAATGGATGGATCATACAGTATAAATTGCAAATGAGCAAACCTCTAGTTTCAGTATAATAAGCCTTCTACTACTTGATTACTCCATTTTTTATCATCCCTATATGTTTTATTATGCTTCTCCTCAAAGATATTCCCTATTCTTACTTTATGATTAATTTTGACCTTTCAGGTCATTGCTGATCGAGATTATGCTCCAGGTGAAGAGGTGAAGGAATCTCTTTATTAGTTCGTATTATGTCTTCTCTTTCTTGAGCATTCCTGTCTGCAACTCTGCATAATTCTCTGTTGCATAGTGCCTCTCTCAAAGTGGCTATTTCTGGGGCTTCATCGGCACCTTTAGCCTTGTAAAGTTATGCATGGTATTAAGATTATTGAATGCAACTGTTGTGGTAGAATTTCGTTTTCCTTTTTTTTTCCTTTTTAATTTAGGTTTCTAATTCATGTTCAAAAAGATGTCATTCCCAATTTTTTCCCTAAAAATTCTTAGATAGTCGTTAACTAAGGTCGACAAAGTGTATAGGTGGTGGCTGATTAGGGAAGATGTTTTCTTGGATCCTGTATAGCTGGTGGCTGATTAGGGAAGATGTTTTCTTGGATCCTTTGCTTTTATATTCCAAATAAATAATAAATAGAATAAACTCGAAGCCCATCTTATGTTCAAAATTCAGGTCTAGGTTGGACTCTATGCTGCCTCCAAATCCAACCTGCTTCCCATTTGAATTCAAAAAATATTCGTCGGATTTGTACTCATACTTTTATATATTGGTTTCGGATTGGAATTTTCTTGCTTTGGATCGAGCTGGTGAATAATCTGAATATATCTCCTCAGCTTTCTTTGTTGCTTTCTTACTCTGCAAACCAAGTATTTTTTCTGCTGCTATCTTTTTTTTTTTTTTTCTCAGATTAGTGATACTCATAATAAATTTTGAACTTTTGCAAATTGTTTTCAACACTTTTCCAACTCATTCAATAGTTCCTGCATCCTTTTCTACTAGTCTGTCCATTAACCGATAAATTATATGTATGTCTTTAAATTCCCCACTTCCACTAAGACTTGAAGTGATTGAAGTTTTGGCTTCCTTATAGGGTGACACTTGTTTTATCTTGTGAGCTCGTAACACAACATATTGGGTGTAACAAGTTTTTGTAAAAAACTGTTGAAAAGGACAGTAGTCCTTTGCTTCACTTTCTGAATATCTGTGGTTTATAGAATGTTTGTGAGCTGATAAACTACAACATGTCCCAAATTTTGCAGGTTTTGATACGGTATGGAAGGTTTCCGAACTCAGCGCTTCTATTAGACTTTGGTTTTACAGTTCCATTCAACTTGTATGACCAGGTTAGTTTTCAGATTTGATTAGAGATAGAATCCTAAGCCTTTTTACTGCACTTCTTTCAAACACACTTTTTTTTTTACTTTTTTATAAAACATCCTTAGGGATACTCTATTTTTACTATAATAGTATAATGAATAAATGTTTGAAAGAACAGCCATATATAGGGACTAGTCAAATTAATTAAACATTCACTTTTACCCTTGTTTTGTTCTCCCTCTGCTTTCTTTTGTTCTTCTTGTATTGACAGTGCACGTTTGTCAAGGCACATATTTGAATACTAATATCTTTAATAATGTGATAGTAGAGATTAAAAGTAAAAATTGTAATCTTACAATATTCATTGAAACGAATCAAACAAGACCCCACTTGACTATGTTTTCATCATGTATAATTGGGAATTAAAAAAATTCTTTCAAATTGTCAATTGTGTCTGGATCGAGAAGATCAAAATAAAACGGAGGGAGTATTATTAGTGCCTATGATTACATACTACTTGAAATTTAATTGCAGCAATTGTGAAGGTTTTAATATAGAATACAGTCATTTGAAACATCTTATATAAGTAAGGCAAAATTGAGGATAACACAACCAAGAGTGCAATCTACATCACAAACTATTAAGTTTGGTGTAAAAAATGTCATAAATGACATCACATCTGCCAAGTCTCCTATAGAACCCGACATGCCCCAAGAATGATCTTACTCCTCTCACATTAGAAATTGAAGCATTTTGATGAGAAGATTCTCTATTGTTATTGTTCCGATTGTTCCTAGCATTATTGTTCCCCCCTTGGTGATATTGATTTTGATTACCATGATTTCCTTGATTGTTATGGTTTGGTTAACCAACTTTGTTGGTTGTAGTTGCCTTGTGGATTTTAGCCCCTTTGGTTCCTATTACCCTCTTAGTTTTGGTTATGGTAATCATAATCATTGTTTCTTTTATCATAAAAGTTTCTCCCATGTCCTCTTTGATTAGGATATTGATATTTTTGGTTGTCATATCTAGGCCTATTATCATATGATTGAGCATTGACATGTTTTCATTCTCAAATTTATTACCATCTTCATATTGAGGTTGGGGTTGGGAATCATATGTGCAAGAAGATGTACCATGATCATAGGAACTACAATTTTTGCAAAAGACACATCCACTAGGCGTATTGTTTGAAGTAGAAGTAAAAGGGTTAGAATTTATACCTCTCTCCTTAGATTGGGTAGGACGATCTTGTTGAGAAGAGGGGGATTCGAGCTTGGCTTTGATTGATGTCATCTCTTTGTTAAGATTGGCGATTTGGGATGTCAAAGTTGTTTATGGCATTTAGGTGATCACGGTGTAAAACGCGTTTCCTCCTTTGCTTGGGGTCTTCCTATCACCTTCTTGCTAATCCATGTAATGCCTAACGACATCTTCAATAATCTCTACCACTTCTTCCTTCGTTTTGTACATTATGGGCCCACCGGCTCCCGCATCCAAGCTAGTCTTACCTTATGGACTTAAGCCCCCATAGAAAATTTGAAGCACCCGGTAGGTGGGGATGCCATGATGAGGACACTCCCTTTGATATTTTTCTTGTATATCTCGCATGCTTCATACAAGGTTTCATTAGCCTTTTGCCTAAAGCCTTGGATCAATGCTCTTGACTTGACCGTTTTCTTTTGGAAATAAAACCTTCTGAGCAAAGTCGTGTTTACTTCATCTCAAGTTCTCAAAGAATTAGGTTTGACCACTTTCTCAAGCCACTCAAGGGCTCTTCCGATAAGAGAGAAAGGAAAAAGGTTCATAGTTACGAACTCTTGAAAGACCCCGTTCACCTTTATCGTGTATCAATATTTTTCAAATTCATTCAAGTGTGCAAGGGGGCTCTCATGCTTTGCTCCATTGTTTTGCCTCCTCTAAATAAAATTTATCATGGCGAGTTAAATCTTTAAATCATTGGCTGGGGTCGTTAGAGGAGCAATCTTACTCGAGGCTTTATAAGCTCTTGGGTTCCCAACTCCTTAAGAGGTAATGGCGTTGTTGCTACTGTTAATTGATTTGCTTGAGTCTAATTCACCCATTAGAAAAAACATAAAAAGGGTTTATTCCTTTTTTGTTACACTTGTAGCCTTGTTACTAATTGCATTTGGTGTATGTGTATGGGTAGAGTTCATAATAGGACATTAGTACTATTTGATCCAGAAATTGAATGAACGTTTAGAAGGAGAGTTGTCCCAAGGTCCTTAAATACTTCCCCATTTAGGGAGTGCAATTTCGAGGAACGACAAGAAGAAATATCCAATCCACCACCGCCACCATAAAGTCCTTTAAAGGAGTTGGGAAACAATAAGAGCCCTCGTGTGGGATTGCTCCTCCAACGACCCCAGTTAATGATTTTGAGATTCAGCTGCCATGATAAATTTGATTGAAAGAAGGCAATACAGTGGAGCAAAGCATGAGAGCCTCTTTCACACTTGAATGAATTTGAAAAATACTACAACACGATCAAGGTGAATGGGTCTTTTAAGAGTTTATAAGAATGAAGCTTTTTTCTTTCTCTCTTATAGGAAGATCCCTCGAGTGGCTTGAGAAGAAGGTCAAACCAATTCTTTGAAAACTTGGGATGAAATAACCACGGCTTTCATCAGAAGGTTATATTCCCCGAAGAAAACGGTCGAATCAAGAGCATTGATCCAAGGCTTTAGGCAAAAGGCTAGTGAAACCTTGTATGAAGCATGGGAGAGATATAAGGAATATCAATAGGAGTGTCCTCATCTTGGCATCTGCACCTACCAAGTGGCTTGAGAAGGAGGTCCAATTCTTTGAGAACTTGGGATGAAATAACCACGACTTTCATCGAAAGGTTATATTACCAAAAGAAAACGGTCGATTCAAGAGCATTGATCCAAGGCTTTAGGCAAAAGGCTAGTGAAACCTTGTATGAAGCATGGGAGAGATACAAGGAATATCAATAGGAGTGTCCTCATCTTGGCATCCTCACCTACCAAGTGCTTCAAATTTTCTATGGGGGTTTGAGTCCCTACTACCTAAGGTAAGACTATCTTGGATGCAGGAGCCGGTGGGCCCATAATGCACAAAACGGAGGAAGAGGTGGTGGATATCATCGAAGATGTCGTTTGGCATTACATGGATTGGCAAGAAGGTGATAGGGAGGCCCCCAAGCAAAGGAGGAAACGCTGTTTACTCCGTTGATCGCCTCAATGCCATCGCCAACATCACAAATCGCAAATCTTGGCAAAGAGATGACATCAATCAGAGCCAAGCTCGAACCCCCCTCTTCTCAACAAGACCGTCCCTCCCAATCTGCTTCTACTTCTACTTCAAACAATATGCCTAGTGGATGTGTCTTTTGCGAAAATTGTGGTTCCTATGGTCATTATACATCTTCTTGCACATATGATTCCTAGCCTCAACATGAAGATGGTAATGAATTTGATAATGAACATGTCAAAGCTCTATCGTATGATAATAGGCCTAGATATGACTACCAAAGATATCAACATCCTAATCAAAGAGGACATGGGGGAAATTTTATATTCAAAGAAACAATGATTATGATTACCATAACCAAAACCAAGGGGGTAATAGGAGCCAAAGGGACCAAAGTCCAAGGCAACTACATCCAACAAGGTGGTTATGGTAATCATAACCATAACAATAAAAGGAATCATGATAATCAAAATCAATACTACCAAAAGGGAACAATAATGCCGAGAGCAATTGGAACAATAACAACAATAGAGGTCCTTCTAATAAAAATGCTTTAATTTCTAATGTGAGAGTTCCTCCCGATTTTGATCCTAGAGCTCCCCTTCCCCAAGAGAATTTTTATGCACAAGCGGCCATTAGAATAGTTTTTAGCGTTCTTCTCATAGTTAGCAATTTAAACCTTTAAATTAGTGGATATTTTAGTAAAATTAATCATATTAGAACCGGATTCAAGACTCTTTCTCATTTTCAGCAATTGTAGACAACATTGAAGCTTCAACTTAGTAGTTTCTATCACTTTTCTCTTGTTATTTTCTGGTTTTATTTCTAAATTAAAGTTCTTAAATCTTCTTTGAATCTTGGTTATTTGTTGTTGCATGTTGAATCCATCCGTTGAACAACTTGGGCTCTAATTTATTTGTTTTGCATGTCTTTCCACCATGAGTAGTGAGTAGTCTTTCTAGCTAGGGGTTGGGTGAAGTTTAACCTAATGGTTAATTAAGTGAAATTGAGAAGAGTTTTGGTGATTGATTTGTGATTAAATTGATTACATGAAGTTTGCTTGTTGTTTATATTGATAGGAGTAGCTACCCTTTATTTTGAGCATGATGGCATGATATTCTTGGTTTGACACGGGAAAGTGAATTTAGATTATCATTACTAATTGCCATTACGATTAATTATCTCCTATAACTAAACTAATAAGGGATCTAAGTTTAGGAGTTTACATTTTTGCATGTAGTCTTTGCTACCTATACCTATATTGTTCCTATTTTGCTTGATTTCCATGGTTGAGTGGATCCCCATTCCCTAGTGTTTCCATATTACTCCCTCTGTTTCATAATAATTGCAACACTTTCCTTTTAGGTCCGTTTCATAATAATTGCAACACTTCCTTATTTGGTAAGGACCCACTATTATTTTATTAATTATCTGTCCTACTAACCCCACTTTCACAAATAATTTATTATTTCTCTCCTACCAACCCCACTTACACTTTTTTTTTTTTATTATTTCTCTCATACTAACCATACTTTTTTCATTAAAACCTACCAGCCTACTCTATATTTTCTTAATCTATGTGCACTCTCTATCGTTGCGATTATTACGAAATGGAGGGAGTATCAATTTAAACCTTTGCTTGTTCTACTTGATGAACCTTGACACAACCAACTTGAAGGCTTCGAGTTAGCTTATGCGTTAAGATCCTTAGCAATTATACCTCTTTTCATCGTGGACCGAACTCTTACTTATCATTTTGCTTGGTTAGTGAGGGGTTTGTTTATAAATGTGTTTGATTGAGTGTGGAATGTGCGACTCTTCGACGCCCCGTCACAATGGCGTCGTTGCCGGGGAACGGGAAAAGTGTAATTTTTTTTTTTTTTTAATATTTATAACCAATTTTCACCCTTTTTCAATTTTCTCTAACTTATTTAACCAAAATACTCCCTCCGTGTTTAAATAAAGGAAATGTTTTCCTTTTTCGGTCGTGTTTAAATAAATAAAACGTTTCCTTTTATGTAACTTCTCTTTTATTTACTTTTTAATAACGTTCTACTAACTAATGATCCTTACAAAACTCCTTACTCTCTTCTCACTCCTCAACTTATACCCAACTACTTATTATTTTAATAAATTTAACAAACCTTTCTAGAAAGTCAAAACGTTTCATTTATTTAAACACAGAGGGAGTATCTCATGTAGTTACTGTCAATTTATCCCATTAATGTGTAGAACCACCAACATACACCTATTTATCAAAAAGTTAATCACCATGGTATAATTTTATAGTAAAACGTTCCATAACCTAACAAAACAAACACCACAAACAATTGGCATTCATAATCGAAATCTAACGACACAAATTATACAAATTCATCCAAGCAACATATAAATTTCAACAAATTATCATAACACCAACTAATACCTAATTTCATGAAATTATGTAAAAAAGACTTCAACACAGGTTCAAAATTTACCAAAGTACAATTTAAAGAATGTCTTTTTCCGATTAATTGTCTAGGATTTTAGGATTGGTCTTCTTCTTCCTCGTTCACCTAGGTGTTCTTCAGAAGTAGTATTAATTTTACTGATTGGGGTAATGGGTGAATTATAAAAAACGGGGCATGTCCTAGTACAGTAAAGTAATTATATAGGTGAGAGAAAATTTAAAAAAAAGGTTGAATATTGGTTAAAAATATTAAAATAATAAAAATACACTTTTTCGGCAGAATCTCCGGCCTCCAAGGTCATTTATGACATTTTCAGCGCCAAACTTAATAGTTTATGATGTAGAGTGCACCCGATCAAGGTTGTGCTATTTTTTGTACAACCTATGGTTGGTGCTATTGAAGCCAATTTTGCTATAAGTAATGCCCAAGCCAAGTTTCCTGCTACTAAAGTCTTAGGTTTTCTTTTATACTGTACCAACCCCTCACAGCCTCCTTCCTACTTTTGAATCAATGGATACTCCAAAACTCATAATTTGGAGCTATGAAAAACATATCTGAAATTTTAGAGCAAGGGCTTCAAGGCAGCGCCATTTTTGGCATTGCTAGAAATGAATTAATGGTGTATAGATTTCTTGCCTTTGACTGGTCAGGTGGCCATTGAGGGCTTCACAGGCTTTCATCTGCTCATTGTCTTCTTACCCTGTGAATGCCAATGAAATGCTTCATTCTGTCTTTGTATTATAGAATTGTCACCCAGTGTAGTATCAATTTGTGCCTTTAGTCTGGCAATTGTTCCTTGTAAATATTTGAACTGTGTAGTCTTTGTTTATGCTAAATTTTTGTACCTAGGATTTGACGTGGGAATACGGGCTACGAAACAACTAAATTAAAATAAAGAACATTGAATGCGGAATGTAAAGGATGGAAAAATTAAAAGAGGTAGGGAAGACATGATATGGTGATGCGGAAAACCCCGATGAAGATGGGTAAAAACTGCGGGTGGCAATGAGTCCAACAATCCACTATAATATGGGCATAAAGCCGAATGTTACAATTAAAATGTACACAATACGCATAAAATATGAAGTAGATAATTACAAATAAATGGGGAGTATTGATTTTGTAGTACGGCAGTGGGTATTTAACGTGCTAATAGTGGGAGTATGCCTTTGCACTTGTATTTAAGGAGCAAGATGTGGTTAAAGTATAGTAGTTTGGATAATGGAATGTACAAGTGGAATATGGGGAATTAGGTGGAGGTTTATTTGGTATGGTTGAAGTATCTTTTTTGGGATAAAGTATAGTAGATGTAAAGAGCCTTTTTAGTGAAATGTCTGGGTGGGTGAAGACATTAGATCATAGGAAAATTTAGGATTGGGAGGAGTAGTATTATGCGTAGGATAGATTGTTATCTTGAAGTGGAATAGCTACCCTTTTATAGGCTTGGTATATCATAGCATTGAGATATTCTAGGTGATTGTTGCATAATGCTCCCTTGATTCTCTCAACTGCTTCCTCGGGTGTTGGAGTAGTGGATGATCCCTTTGCTTGGTCTTCTAATGAATATAGACTGGATTATGGTCTAGTTCATCCTAATATCTTTATTTGGCTCCTTGATAGCCAATATTCTCTCCTTGACTCTAGGAGACGCTAATAACCATCTTGACTTGGTCTTGCGTATCTTGATCGTCGGTCAATGGTCGTACAATATGACCCATAACAGTCTCCTAGTTTATGTTGATGCAATTGTGGCCTGCACCTTAGATTTATGTTGAAAGTACTTATTACTTGTCCAGATATTATCATGTTGTTGCATATATTTGGACCTAATATTGTGATGCTTTACTGCAAGGATGCTGTCAAGTGAAATTTGCACTAGTGTAACGCCTATTATTTTCAGGTTGTCATTCAGGTTGATATACCTTACAATGATCATCTACGAGCAATGAAGATGGATATTCTGCAAAAGCATTGTTTGTCAAAAGTCAAGGATGCAAACTTCAGCCCTTATGGGGCTTCTTTTGTGATAAAGTATGTATAATCTCTTGGTCCCTTCTTATATATATATGTGCCATAACGTTCCAATTTCCAATCAACATACTTATGAGTATATGACTATAATAAGCTCGAGTTCTAGAAGAGAAGTCTAGTTGAATAGCTGAAGTAATGGAATGTAGCAATTAGAGATATATGAAGTTAGATTTAGTAGATTATAAACATTTTTCACTGATAGTTTCACGGGTACTATTGACATTTTTGACACTTATTGTATATAAGTGGTATTAAGCTCTTAAATCATCTCATTGCTCTTATCTAAATTCCCAATTGTCTCTGACCAAGCTTGAAGAAAACCCTGCTAAGCTTGCAGTTTTTCCATTATTGATTTGGGTTATGTACTATCATCATGTGGAATGTTTATCAAATGATATATTATTGTTGCTTATTTGCATTTCCCCTGTAACCTACCATGTTACAGGGAAGTAAGGTCGTCTAGAGGAAAAGGGAAGGGAATTCCACAATCACTTCGTGCATTTGCTCGGATCTTGTGTTGTAACTGTTCTCAAGGTATTGTACACATCTACTTTCTAGGTGTTCACGCCTGACAAATTTGTTAATTATATTATTCTGTCCTCCAGACACTTTTTGATCAGTAATTGACATGCAGAATTAAATGACTTGGTTGTCGAAGCTGCTCAACATGATGGCCGTCTAGCACGGCGTCCTTTGGTTAATAGGACCTTGGAGATACGAGCACATGAGATTTTGCTCTCGCTAATCAATAAGCTGATTGAGAAATATGATGTGTCAATTAAGGTAAGAACCAAATGACTGAGAAGTGAGAATTGCCGAGGCTTACCAATCTGATATAATTCCCTTAAGTAACATGAACTCTCAATTAGGCATTATCTTCTGGTTGACTAACTATCATCACCTTCTGCAACATTATTCTTAGTTCTTCTGCACCAGGCTTAAAATTAACTTGGTAGATAGTTATTGAAGTATTTTGCTAAATGGTAAACACCAATCATTAGTTTTTCAACGCTCAAGTCAAAATTGATTCTTTTCTGTTCGTAAAGGTCAATTTTATTTGGCTTTAGCAATGCACTGGGGTAGCTCCAATGGAATTGCAGCATGCTGTCTTTTTCACATATTATGGTTCTCCTGGAATTATAAACAAAAATTGTGTGGCCATAGCAGGGCTAATTTGTTTAAATTACTGATAGAAATTAATGATATTTTAGAATAATAAATAGATGGCATATGCATTCTGATATAAGTTTTTTTTGATCTATTCTACTTTCATTGTCCTTGTCTGATTATGTTTATATCGTACCTACAGTCACTGCATATGCTAGAACCCAGAAACTGTAGGAAGTTTGCTATCAGACAGAAAATGGCGCAAGATCTCCTTGCTGGGGAGGTTCGTGTCCTGAGATCTGCATCTGCATGGTTGAAGAACTTCTGCCAGTCGTATCCAGAGCAAGGAAAAAACATCATAAATCTTTTACAAGTACAGCCAAAAGTTCCTTCAGGTTTCAATCAAAATCAAACCAACTTGTTCGATGGAGATTGATGAGAGAAATTTTGTACATGTCTACTTCCCTTCAGTTCTGTGCTCATCCCTGTTTCATGATAGGGGGTCCTGTTTTTTGTTAGAGGCCAGGTTGTATTTTTTTTGGAAGTGTAGCTATTTATTTGGTAGGGACTAGAATATTAATTTTGTTGAATTATCTGGTAATAGAGGTGGTACTGTTTTATTGGTTATCACTAAGGGCATGCCTGGATTCCATGAAATAATTAAGAGGATAATATTTAATGGGGCTAAATTTACTGAGGGAATAATTAAGGGGATAATATTTCATTTTCCATAGTTTGGCAACAATACTGTTGTATGGATGAAGAGGAGAGAGAGCAGAGATGGGAATAGAAGAAGCTATGAGCAAAAATGGAGTTGAAAAAGATGAATAGGAGAGAAGACCGAAGAAGGGAGATGGGAAGGAGATCAGAGGAGGCACGTGGGAGTAGTAGGTTGGGAAATTTTTTGGGGAGGAAAAAGTTACTCTAGAGGGGGCTTTGGTAACATTTACTCCCATTTTGAGGGAAATTATTTACCGTCTACATGTTTCCCCAATACCAAACCTATTTTTATTTCCAGATATTTTACTCTTGTATTTTTTCCTCCCCCATTCCCCTCAATCCAGGCGACCCCTAAGTTGTATTCTCACTTCTCGCTATCTTGGGTCACTAATATAGGTTGTTTTTTTAGTTTTTCTTGCAATGGTGAACCTCTCCATGAACTTCGCCACTATCTCTTACTTTATCGACTTATTCACATCCATCATTTATTCTCTCATACCGTTTCTTAATTGATTTTTATTATATAATCTGAGTTCTTAAAAAATTAATGAAATTTACTTAAAGTATTTATATAATTAATAGAGGCTTTAATATCTAAATTGTATCATAAAATGTAGATTATCATCCATTGGAAAATAGATTTTAGAAGGTAGAGAAAGGTAGAAAATTAAGTGGGTATAAAACCATAAACCTATAAAAGTGTAAACAATATTATAACAATGTTGTTGGTGTTATAAAATAAGGAGAAATATGAGAGAGAATTGATCAGTCTATATTATTCCATAGAGTGGGGATATATATATACATACAATATAACTAGGGTTTGCTTAGATAACAATAAACCCTAGATTTAGAACATTCCAAATAAAATAAAGGAGGATAATGGATATCCACACAACATAATATTTCATAACACTCCCCCTTAGATGTCCATTATCGAAGAGTGTGTCTCGTTAAAATCTTATTAAGAAAAAACCCCGTGGGATAAAAACCTAATGAAGGAAAAGAGTACAACATTCTTCGTAATACGCTCGAGATGCTGCCTCATTAAAAACCTTACCAGGAAAACCCAATGTGGGACAAAACCATGGTCAAGGGAAAAAGAGTGCAACGCGTATTTTCTCCCCCTGTGAATACATAACTTGAAATTATCTAATACTGCAATGAATCCAATATGGCGAGGTGGGGTGTCTTCTCATATGTAGTAGAATATCATTCCTTGCTCTTCGACCCTCCTAATTTGAATTTGCATCTTTAAGTCTTCACGTGAACATATAAAGTGTCTTCATTTCACCATGTATGGATTTATCTGTATATCATTCCAAACCTTTATTTGAATAAAGTTATTTTAAAAGTTAAACTTATGCGATTAGGCATTCTTCTGGAGGTCGTGAATAATATAAATCGATGATCATTATTTGATCAAACATTCATTAATAATAATTTGATGACAAAACTTGATATTATTAATGTTGTTCTTCAATCTCATCTGAATTATAATATTACACATGTAATTAGATACGCTAATCATGGTTCTTCTGGACCATAAGAAAACATTCTCACGCATAAGTATTCCATTGATATTCCTTAGACGTTTCATAATTGACACGATAGCTCTCTTGCAAATACAAAAGCAAATCTCACTAACTTTCATGTGCTCAAACTTCAGGTTGAGAAGTCAATGATGTAGTCACATAGACTTTTCAAGAGTTTGATAATAATTGCAATATTCAAGATATAAAATTTGTAGGGCTATAAAGACGTTGCATATAAGTTCTTCGGGAACTTTTCTTACATGATTCAAAATAATATTAGATCAACGTCATATATAAATTCATCATAATTATAAGCCCATTGGAATATAAATATGTCTTTCCTTCCATTAAAGCTGTAAATATGTCTTACTATATATAATGAACATTTACATATACCACAAATATTATATAGAAACTAATGCATTCAATTTGAGATATAGAAATCATGATAAGATATTGAGCAAAATGTACAATGAGTAATACATCTAACAATTTCTACACATGCAATAAGTAATTCATTAACCTATGAATCACACATGCACATGAACATAAGACTCAAAATGATGCAAGACACTGTACAGTGTGGATTTAAAAATCCAAATTTCATTGGACTTCCGGTCCATAATAAACTTTTGATCATTTTATGTCGACATCAAAATGGACATATATATTTCAGATCCCTTATTCATTAGTCCACTCTATTATACATATGCATATTATTTATCGATTCCCTTGTGTACCGATATTTACTATGATATCTGAATACATTTCTTATTGGTACCATCATAACTTTCTTACATCATAGGCCATCTATTGTAATAATTCAGATATTTATACCACTTTAAGGTATTTCATACACTATGGTATTTATATACTATTACACTATTAGTTAACTGCACTATCTTGCCATATATCATATTTATTAGACATATCTTTATTTTGGAACCGATCATACAACCTACACTTCAGGTGCAGTGATTCAAGTATAATTGGCAAGATTTTATCTCAATGTATACACATAATATGACCAAAAAGTATCTTCCAACGCTATGCAACATGAGTCATAACTAAATACAAATCAAATCATAAATGTGCAACATATCTTGATAATATATAGACAAAAATTGGCATATAACTTTTCAAACTACCTTTATAGAGATCATCAATTATATTTTCCGATTTTTCCAACTTTTGCTAATTCTTCTCCCCCTAAGTTGGTAAAATATCTCATTTATAGGGGCGTCTAATCCTATACCAACTTAGTATACAAATTAAAATTCTTTTCGTCGGGAGGATCAAAATCAAAATAATTATCTCAGAAGATTTGTATTAAACAAGTTTTATCCCTTCTAGAGAACAATTTCAATGAAGAACTATTTCTTCATTAACTTTACACTGCATGTGTATTTATTGTTACACTTTCTATAATATGTTCTCTTCTGGAGATCAATGTCAATGGGGAGACATGTGTTGTGCAGTTGTACGTTTTTCTTTCTTTTCCAATTTCTTATGTGCTGATATATAATAGCCCCAATCAAAAGAATTATTATACAAGCATAAATCAGTTGCTTGGAATTCTACTAGGTAGTGATCTTCGAGATCTTTAAAGATTTAAATAGAGTATTTGGTGAGATTCTGGTCACCTAATAGTTGACAATAACATATTTGTTATTCTGGTGAACTTCTGGTCACCCATTACTCTTGACATTTTCATCAATACAAATTATTATAAATCACTATTCAATGATAGCTCAATCTCAATGTTATGTCTTGCCATTTAACTCATTTCATATATGCAACATTGAGAGAGCGTCAGCACATTATCAAATGAAACTTCAAGTTTCCATAACGGGTAATTATTAAACCCGGATGGCCTAATTTAATTATCACATCCAGTCACTTCTCTAAATTTGAACTTTGATCAGTATTCCAACACTAGTGATCATTTTGTTAAAATTACTTTATGCATGGCTATGAATATGATGTGATATTAGAACACCAAAATGTGTTTCTTTATATAATTGGCAAGACAATCAACTAATACTTGATCCAAAATTTTATACTCTGCTGGAGCTTTGACTATAATCTTGATACATGCTAAGCTTGTTGGATAATTCTATACTCTTCTAGAGTACTATATATAATCATGGTACATATCCATTTTACTAAATATAATCTATTATAAAGATCTATCAAAATGTATTACTTCCTCAAATTCGCTATTGTCAATAATTGCTCTTTTCCTGTTTGAAGATTCTTATCTTTGAAATCTATTGGGCTCGGCTATGGCTACCACACTTTAGGCGTGCTTTAGGAATGAAATCTATTCATATCCATCTTCAGGATAGTATCATTTTGAAATATATTACTTAACATGTGGCCACTTTTATTGAATAAAACATTAACATTTAAGTTAATTTATGTACCAAACTGACCATCAATATATTTTATTATTTATGTGCAAGGATTACATAATGATATAAATACTATCTCCCCCTAATCCTTGCATGTGGGGCATTAAATTAATCCAACTACCTTTAAATCTCTTGCACCTTTTGAGCCATAAATTCTCTTATCAATGCATGTATCAAACAAAGTAAAATGATTCTTATAAAACTCATATTCGTTCCTCTTGCCCAATTATATGAACCTTTATACTAAAAATTCTCAAATTAATACTCTAATAGAATTAAAGGAACTAAAATAAGATTCACTAAACCAAATTACTTAAATTAATAAATGACTGATAATAATAATAATGAAATATCCGAAAACATAAAAATATCCAAAAACATAAAATTATCCAAAAAACAAATGACCCATAAAGCATAAAATCATAATACTACGATAAAATTCTATAATAAATGCAAGCTAATTAATAGAGTTATTCGCCAATGGATCATAATTTATTCAGTTATTTTCTTCAGAATTAGGAAAGAAATCAGCTGCTTCCAGGTGAGTTTTATCACCGTAATCAAAATCACCTTCGCCATCCTCGTACACCAAATTTGTTTCCACTTTCTTTCCTTTCTGTTTGATTGATTGTTGATAAAGGTCTAGTAGATATTTTGGTGTACGACACACACGAGACCAATGGCCTTTTCCTTCACAACGGTAGCATATATTTTCATATTTGTCCTTCTCATTCTTATTTTCCATCTTTATTCTCCCACTTCTGGTGAGAGTATGAGTTTCTAATATGACCACCTCGACCACGATCATGTCGACGTCTGCGGCCGCGACCACGACTGCTGGCGTGATCTCTAGCCTTTTGCTCTTTCCATGGGATGTCGCATTCGTTTCAGGGAATGGAGTAGAGCTAGTTGAGCGTGATTCATGATTTTTCATTAATAGTTCATTATTTTGCTCAGCCACAAGGAGACAAGATATCAATTCAGAATATTTTGTAAAACCCTTTTCACGGTATTGTGTCTGCATGACAACATTGTTTGCATGAAAAGTGGAGTATGTTTTTTCTAACATTTCTACATCTGTGATTTTCTCTCCACATAATTTCAATTGTGATGTAATTCTAAACATGGCTGAGTTGTGTTCACTCACAGACTTAAAGTCTTGTAATCTTAAAAATGTAACCAGTCATAACGAACCTTTGGTAATATCACAGTTTTCTGGTGGTCATACCTTTCCTTTATATTACTCCAAAGGACTTGTGGGTCTTTAACAGTCAAGTACTCAGTCTTAAGGCCTTCATGGAGGTGATGGCGAAGGAATATCATAGCTTTAGCCTTATCTTGGCTTGTTGCAGTATTGTTTTCTTTAATAGTATCACCAAGTCCCTTTGCATCTAAATGTATTTCAGCATCTAACACCCAAGACAGATAGTTGTTTCCAGTAATATCAAGAGCAACAAATTCGAGTTTTGCAAGGTTGACATGATTCACTGATTTATAAAACAATATTATAAATTAGGAAGTATGATGGAATTATAAATATGGTACGGTATGACAAAATAGGCGTACAAGATCTCAAATTTTACAAGTTAATATTTGACAATATATAGCTATATATATGTGTATTAAACATTATCAAGAATATAGCTATTTTATTCTACGTTGAGGAGGTTTATTGTTCATGAGACCACAATTAAGTCCACTAATCAATTAGTATATAAACAAAATAGATTTGCTATTCCACATTACAAATGTTCACACACAAAACATTCTAAATATTCTCGGGTTAGAGATTTGAACTATATTGGATTACATACAAAATATCCTATGCATTATCTTACCTTTTTCCTTTGCTTACGAAGAAGTAACAAATTTCATCTAGAGTTTCAACAACAAATTAATGCTACATGCACCTCCAGCAGTTTACACTTTTTAAATTCAAGATAAAGTTCACAAGGTTTAATACTAATAATAATTCTAAACTTTCCTTTTAGAGTCAAGCTAATAGTAATAGTCACAAATTACGCTCCATGCTCAATAATATTGTCCAAGATTATAGTAAAGATTAACAAAAAGACTATTACGAAATAAAGCAAATAGCATCTGAATCAACTAGAACAAATTAGAGAGTTCATGATCATGATATATTTTAACAAAGGACACAACAAGTATTAAAAGAAGCAAAGAAACTGCAAATCAACAATTCAACTACATACTAGCCATAGACAAAAAAAAAAAAAAAAAAAAAAAAAATACTATCACAGAAGTATTCTCTGTCAGTGAGTTACGCTAACCTTTAATTATAATTAAACAATAATTCAACCCCACTTAACAAAACAATGCATCATAATAATGTAACACATATAAAAGCGGCATAAAATAATTATATTATGTAAACTTAAAGCTTAATAAAATAAAAGAAATTGTGAGGAAACTTTCCTGCTAACGGGCTCACGATAGCTGCATGGATCAATATCGCACGAGCTCTTGATACCGCTATCAATTTTCAAATAGCACCGCTAGTAATATTCCGTTGTATTTCAGTCTTTAATCGCAAGGTTGATTCGTGATTTATCAATTTGTAGGATGTTCCTTATTAATAGTATACCAAGATCTCAATAGCAACCGTTTTCGATTATGATTAAACTTTAATCTTAATCGATCGCTTAGAGCCTTGATATCTATTAGAGCTTTGGTGCTGATAACGTGTTATAAAATAAGGAGAAATATGAGAGAGAATTGATCAGTCTATATTATTCCATAGAGTGGGGATATATATATACATACAATATAACTAGGGCTTGCTTAGATAACAATAAACCCTAGATCTAGAACATTCCAAATAAAATAAAGGAGGATAATGGATATCCACACAACATAATAATATTTCATAACAGTTGGTATAATTTTTTTTTTCCCCTTTTTTTGTTAAAGCAACTTTATATTTTTACCGTACAATAATGTATTGATTGCAATATTGCTCAAGAAATTCAACCAAAGAAAGTAGTCGTTCAATTAAACGAGGCGGCTCAAAGCCAATCACGCCTTTACAATCATGTCTCATGTGCTAACCCTTTTTTTGTTTTTGATATCCAAAGAGTGTCATTTACCTTAAATGGGCAAAAAATTAATTTAAAACACTAGCTTTCATCTCCATGCATGCGTGCATCTTCTTCTCTTTTGACCTTAGCTTAGCTTGTGAGTTGAGGCATCATTGACTAAAAGATAGAAGTGCCTCATACATTGTTCAATGGTTTTCAAGTGTGTGTCATTAGAGACCACTATATTGAAGATTAGGAACTAGAAAAAAGAGCGTTTTGGCAATGGAAAGTAGAATATTCAGATAATGAAAGTAGAAAAGGCATTGAAACGAATGAAATTATAGATAGTTATTGACTTTAGTATCCCTATCGAGGTTTAGAGGAAAGTTTAGTATTAAATGACTAATAGAATTGTTTAACAAGATTTGGAGAACAAACAAGATTAGAGGGAGAGAACTATGGTACCGGTTTATAAGAACAAAGGGGTCGGGATGCTCAAGATTGGTCAAACAATTGAGGTATAAACCTAATGTATAACACCATGAAACTATGGATAGAGTTATAAACCTTAGACCATGGAAGTTATATATGTGATAACACAAATTGGAGTATTATAGGGCGAGGAAAAAGGATTAACACTAGAGTTGATAAAAATTCAATTTGGACCGGACTTTAACATATACCCAAACCGCAATAACTGGCGGACTTGTCGAGCCAAAGCGGTTATTTCGAACTTTTTAATTTGGGTTTAAACTAAAAATGTGTTTTCAGGCTCGTCCAAACTCGCACTTTTTTGGGTCAGGTCGTAGTTGATCACCTCTAATTTACACAAATTTCTATCCTATCACATCAGCATTATCATATGATGTGATGGATGTGTAGGAACACCTTAAATAATAATATGAAAATAATGGGAGGAAAAATGGAGTTGCTGGCATTGAGGATAAATTAAAGGAAAATCGTTTTTATTGGTTTGAGCATGTCATGCAGTTTTGCAGAGGTAAGAAGGCACATCAATAAGGAAAGTACATATATGGGAAGACAAAGACCAACGATGACTTGGATGGATGGACATGAATAAGTTGGGTTTGTAGGAGCATATAACATTAGACATAACAGAATAGAAGGAGAGGATCATAGTTATCTGAGTATAGGAGATAAAATTGTAGTTCGTATAGTTGAAGGATGAGCACATCTTTAGTATTAAGGCTGTAATTGTTTTTTGTTGTTGTTGTTGTTTTCTTAATGAAAAATATAAGTAAAATCAAATCAAGTTATTAAAATTCATGATTTTATACTAATAGTTATTGAAAACCTAAGAATGTAAGAAGTGAGACATAATTAAGGCAAAAAACGAAATGTTGTCATAATAGGAAAGAGATATGATATGACTAAGTACAAAATTTAGTATATTATTAATTTATTATACACGTATAGTCATCGTATGTATAAAGTATAAAAAGCATGCAATTTTACATACTATAGTACTCGAGCATAAGGTTTGTAGATCGGTCCAATACAATCTGATAAATAGGTAGACCAAAAATTTCAAATTTTGTGGACTAAAGAACAAACATATAAATAATTATGGGTAATAATGATCCAAGCTTGATGCAAGTTTCATTTAAATTTGGTTTTGGACTAGAACTATTATTATTGTAAATGCACTGAACTTTGCTTTAAAGGCTTTCTTAATATAAGTCTTTCTGCTCACCCTCCTATTTCCTTTTTTTTTTTTTTTTTTTTTTTTTTTGTGAAACCATCTTTCTATTTCTTTTTCTCTTATAGTGTTTGCAAACAAGAAAATCAATATTATTGATCACACATGCTACCATTAAAAATATTTAGTAAGTTTATATTGAATACTCAATAGTCAATCTTAAATACTCAATAATTAATCTAAATATGTATGGAGTATTGTAGGCGTCGATTGAAGTTGGATCTTTTTAACATGTGTGAATATGCTTGACAATCTTTGAAAGTTGGATCTGACTAATACAACAGGGATAAGGAATAAAGTAAGGATGGAGTTGTCAACAAGTTTTACAAAACCTGTAAATCGTTAATGGATTTAACGAAAGGGACAAGACAACCACAAATTTTGATCCATGAAGGTTACACCTTATAACCAATTCATAATCAATGAGATTACTAATTCTTTATGGTCACTAATCACGACTGAAGGTACAGGGATGAATGAAAGGTACAAAATTAAAATAGCAATAAAAAATCAATATTAATCATAATAATACAATAAAGACATAAGGACTAGTTGACAAAATGGATACATATAATTCTAGTTTCTTTCTCAATATTATATGAGACCGGTTTGATCATATATTGTAGATTTTATTTTGTTACAATGTTAAGAACTTAAACTTTTCAGGCAAAATCTCGTGAAAAGATAAATGATTTCTTGAGCCACTTTGGATTATGTACAAAATGTCATGCCAATCTAACACAATTCAAACATCAGATGAAGTATCTATGTAATCCATGTAAAAGAGTTAGGTTATTTGTCATATAGTTAATTAATTTTGGTTGTGAAGTCTAATCAATAAATCTTGATAGATACAAGGCTGATAACAACTACAGAGTATATTATTGTAGGTGTGTAATACAAAATCAAATCAACATACTTTTTATTTTAATAAATCGTATCACGTCGGATTCTGTTTCTCAAGGCCATCTTGGTTTTGTGCTTAACACTTATTTCAATATAAAAGCAATAAAAAAAGACCAAATATGCTTCAATTCAATTCATCGGCAAAAAGGTAATCTTAAATATTTTTCTTCAAAATTCTCCCTTCCCTTTATAGCTAGCTAGTGTCCTTTAAAAAAAAATATGAAAACTTAAGAAGAGCTGATCTCTAGTCAATGTCATTATTATTAACCTAAGATAATTAATATTTAATACAAGCTAGCAATGCATGTGTTAAAACTAGAAAGTGAATTTTTAAATATTTTAAAATTTAGTCATTTTCATGCGATAAATGTATAATACTTATATATGCTATACCCTCTAATATTTCTCCTATACTTATTTGGTTGTTGTTGTTAATAATATTTTGATTATGCGTGTTTTTCAGACATGTCTAAAACAGTTGGAGATAGTAGCATGAATGATGCGAATAAGCTTACTGCTTTAGTTGTAGACGATAAAGCTGTCATTAGGAAGATTTTAAAAATGTTGCTTAACAAGAAAGTGTTTAAAACAGATCAAGAAATCTTGACGATAAAGGTCATGGAAAATGGTCAATAGGCCGTGAACACTTTCATTGAAGGCAATTCTTTTGATGTTATTATCATGGATATGGAAATGCCGATAATGGATGGGATTCAGGTAACCTTTTTTGTATTATATTAATGGCTTTCTTAGTGTTATATATGTTGATGTTAACAACATATCTTTTAATATAAGGCTATTAATAAATCAGTTAAGATTAATATAACACTAGATGAAGCCCGTGCGATACACGATTTGTTTGTATTTTTTAAAATAAAAATATTTTACTAAATATATATTTATCTGATAAACTTGTGATATTCGCTTAAATAAATTGCAATTATTTTTTTCATTGGCTAAATATAACTTTTTTTATGTGACGCTCTAAAATATCTTGAAAAAACTCTCCTTTATGTAATTTTTGTAAAAATTTATCATAATGTTGATTGCATTAATCACCCAAATAAATCATTTAATATTATTCATGATAATTTTTTAAAATAATAATCTTATGTGTCGCTCTAACAATTTTTTTTTTTTTTTTATTGTAATCCTACATAGCACTTTAAAAAAACTAATCTTATGTGGCACAATTCTATTGTAGCGTTTCAAAATATTAATTATACGTGGCGATATTTTTATTATAATCCTACATAGCACTTTAACAAAAACTAATCTTACGTGGTATAATCCTATTGTAGCGTTTATAAATATTAGTTCTACGTGGTGCTCTAATAATTTTTTTTTAAATTAATCTTATGTGGCACTCTAAAATCTCGGGAAAAAACTCCTCTTTATATATATACTAGTTTTGTGCGCGGACGATGCCCAGATGGATGATAAAATTTCAGAATAAACTTTTGGCTTGAATGGTCATTAATACGGTCATGTAATCCCCTTTTGATAATGCATGATATTTACACATACGATACCCTATCGCTTATAATTATATAATA